ATGCCTTTTCGTAATCTCCGCCTACGCCCCCACTGACTGCAGTTCGGATGAAACGAAGGATGAGTTCTACCAAAAGCTGTCTAGTTTGGTGAGAAAGGCTAAACGCTCAGATATAGTCGTTCTAGCTGGTGACTTTAACGCTCAAGTAGGGAAATTGTGTCAATCTGAGAAGGATGTCGGTGGCACCTATGGAGTTCCGTGCCAGCGAACCGACAACGGTGACCGTCTCCTACAGTTCTGTTCAGATAATCATTTGTTTCTTGTAAGCACTAACTTTAAACACAAGGAGAGACACTGTTTAACCTGGCGACCCCCATCATCAAACCAACGCTGGACACAAATAGACCACATAGCAATAAGCTATCGTTGGCGTGGGTCGGTAGGAGATTGTCGCTCCTTCTGGAACACGTGTGTAGATACCGATCACGCACTGGTCCGGGCTCGTGTGTGCTTACGACTGAACGGACGTAGGAAACAGCTGGCGGTAAAACCATCACGTCCCCAGCTCGATCAGGAAACTAAATCCCTATTTGAGGAAGAACTAGCTAAACGCATATCTGAATTCGACAGCTGTGCTCACCCTGGAGAAGCCTGGAAGAATATTCAGTCAGCTATAGATACAGCTGTAAAAGCTGTGAATAAGGCAAATCCAAAGGTGAGTAAAAACCACTGGATTTCGACTGCCTCATCCGAACTGATAGATGCTAGAAGACTTATTCCGGCGAGCTCCGAATTCAATGAGGAGCGAAAGCTGCACAAAAGGAAACTTACTAAAAGTCTCCGCAAGGACCGTGAACAGTGGTGGGTGACAAAGGCGAAAGAGATGGAAAAAGCATCGGCGATAGGCAACACTAGGCAACTCTTTAGACTCATCACAGAATCGGGTGGGAGAAGGCAATTCATAAGTGAGACTATTTCTGAGAAAAATGGCTCCTTAATTAGCTCTCAGGATAGACGCCTTGAACGCTGGAAAGAACACTTTGAGGAACAATTTAACTTGCCTACAGCCACACTGAACCTCCCCGCCATCCACCACGTACCCGAATGGGATATAGACACTGGTCCGCCGTCTGTAGGTGAGGTTACAAAAGCTATCAGTAATTTGAAACGAGGCAAAGCGGCAGGACCCGACGGAATTATTCCGGAGGTGTTTAAATATGGGGGTGACATACTAGTTTGTAGATTAACTGAGGTACTAGGCAAAGTCTGGGAATCAGAGACAGTACCATCAGACTGGGGTAAGTCACTTATTATACCGATATTCAAGAAGGGAAACAAGTCCTCGTGTGATAATCATAGGGGGATCAGCCTAACGAACATAGTCTCTAAAATCCTAGGCTCAGTAATCATGCATAGACTAAGCAGAACTCGGGAGGAACAGACAAGGGAAAATCAAGCAGGCTTTAGACCAGGTAGAGGGTGCATAGATCATATCTTCACTCTTCGACAGATTCTAGAACATAGACACACTTTTCGGCGTCCAACAATTGTCATATTTCTTGACTTGAAGGCGGCCTTCGACTCCGTGGATCGAAAGGTACTATGGCAATGTCTGACTGTGAAGGGAGTGCCAAGAAAGTACATTGCACTAATCAAGGCACTCTATTCAAACTCACGTAGTCGTGTAAGGGCTTATGGGGAATTGTCATCTGAATTGGTAACAACCAGTGGTGTCCGACAGGGATGTCCACTTTCCCCATTTCTGTTTAACTTCATCATAGATATGCTAATGGAAGTATCCTTAACTGAACGTAGTGACTTAGGAATCGACTTGTTACCAGGGAATAATCTAATGGACTTAGAATATGCAGATGACATAGTCCTGTTAGGGGAGGATGCTGACAAAATGCAGAGTCTTCTGAACACCTTGAGCAGCAATCTTCGTATGTTTGGCATGCGATTCGCCCCTGCAAAATGTAAGATGCTGCTACAGGACTGGACCACGTCAACCCCTAACTTAGTGATAGGGAGTGAAGTGATAGAACATGTTGACCACTTCACCTACTTGGGAAGTTGTATTAGCACCAACGGACTGATTGGCGATGAAATCTCAGCACGGATCCGAAAAGCTCGAGCTGCTTTCGCTGACTTACACCATCTCTGGCGTAGGCGTGACATCCGGTTATCAACCAAGGGACGTGTGTACTGCTCATCAGTTCGCTCCGTCCTTCTCTATGGCTCTGAAACATGGCCAATACGCGTTGAAGACATGAAAAGGTTGACTGCTTTCGATCATAGATGTCTGCGATCTCTGTCTCACGTTAGGTGGTTTCACAAGATAAGTAATGTTGACGTTAGGCGTAGAGTGTTGGGCAAAGAGGGAAAATCAATCGACGAGGCTATAAAGTTACATAGACTAAGATGGCTAGGTCACGTGCTGCGCATGCCTAACCACCGCCTCCCCCGACGGGCATTGTTAGCTGATATAGGTTCAGGTTGGAAAAGAGCCAGTGGTGGCCAAACAAAAACATGGCATCAATCCATGAAATCCTTGACAGTTAAACTGAGTCAGGTAGGGAGATGCAGACTCCCGGGTTGGGGCCCTCGGGACTCTAGGAATCAATGGCTGGAGACAATAGGTGACATGGCTCAAAATCGTTGTCAATGGCGCAGATGTATTCAGTCTCTGTAATCTTTCATATTCCTTTCTACCATTACCCATTCTGTTTCACTCTTATACTTGTCAAACTCTATTGATTCTCTTCACTCATCTTCTTGTCTACCTCTGTGTGCTATTTGGAACGTGGCAACTCGAACTGCTGCACTTCGGTGCCAAGTTCTATGTTGAATCCAGACAGACGGACAGATAATACTGATACTCTTTGTGAGGATTCTTACGTAAACTACTAACTGATATTTATAAATCTGGTTTACGTTATAACTGTAAATCAACTGGTTCCAGTTTACTGTTGTTATTATTATTATTTTTAACTCATGTATAGATGTATCTATTTTAAAGGGTTGTAATCGATTATGTTTACCAATACTTTGCTTGTATTTCACATGTAAAAAATAAAAGACAGATTCAGCGAAAAAAGTTTTCTTTATCGACGAAATCACCTTCAGAGGCTGTACAGTCGTATTTATACTTAGAAAATATCAATTATGTCACCCCCTATTACTCAATAATAGACCACTATACATTTTTCTAAGTATAAATACGACTGTACAGCCTCTGAAGATGATTTCATCGATAAAGAAAATTTTCTTCGCTGAATCTGTCTGTTATTTTCTTCATGACTTAATGGGTATTTTCGGTTATTTCACATGTATTCAAATAACAATGTATATAAATATTCTCTTCTTCACATTTATTACTTCATATCCAAACATTTCCTAAGAAATCCGACTATATCAATTTGCCATTCGCAGAAGATGATGTACAAGAGGTAGTCAAACGAAGACTGGGTAAAGCTATTATGCTGCAAAAGTCGTCTTCCTTAACACCACCAACCGAACGATTGAACAATCTGGGAAAGACCAGTTTCCAATACTCGACTGAGTATATCAATTTGATGAGCGTGTTTGTGGTAGCAAATAGGTCGTCTATTCAGTTTACAATTCTTGATATATTTAAGTTCTTTCTCTAATGACGATTTGTTTATCTTAGTGATGTCGTTGAAGCGTAATGCATTTTATCTTAATTTCAATCTCTCATACTCCTTTCTCTTTATCAATTAGATCATGACCCGAAAAACATTCACACGTGCTGCTTTGCATGGTTAATTTAACGTAGTTTATTTGCTTATCAGTCTCATATCTGCCAATTTATATATATATATATATATATATATCCCTGTTTGCAGAATATTCAGCTGAAGAGTTCTATCCAAATTTGACGAATGCATTAAATCCTGCATTATTAAACTTTCTTTGTTGCTTGTTTTAAAGACTTTCTTTGCTGCAAAAATACAGATGACGTTCACCAGCCGTAAGTTATCCTCCGTCTCTGTTGACGATAAGCTCCATCTGTATCTATCAGTTCACCTACTCTTAGGGAGCAAGGTACATTGGCTGTATCCACATAACGCTTTCTATATGGATACGAGAACATATTCAAGCATGGTTTCACAAGGGAGAAAGGGGAAGTGGGCGAAGCTCTACTCTAGAACAAATGATCGATTCCTATCTCTCCACCAACCCTGACTATGATTTTAAGATCATCTATCAAATTCATACCAACCTGCCGCAATTTCTTTATTATAAACTTCTAAAGAAAGTGGAGGCCTTGGCCATTCATGAATTTAAGCCAGACCTTTTGTGTACAAAAAAAGTATTTGCAATCCCTATTTTTGTCTCGGTAGTAGAGGGATAGGCATTTATTTATTTAATTATTACTTGCTTATTTAATTATTCTATGTACCTTTCCTTCATTACTATAATTATTATTAGTAGCAGTAGTGATATTATTCTCCTTTTGAACTGTTCTCACTCGCCATTCTAATTCAATAAAAACTTTATTAAAATGTTGAATTCTATCTTATCAAATTTCACACCTTGATACATAACGTTTTATATTAGCTTACTAACCTTATAGTTTCGCACCCCTCCGAACATCCATACATTTTATGAATTATTCTATATATGACATTTGATATTCAACTATGATTGTAATCATAAATATTTCAATTGCATCTCATACTACTATTATTACTCCATGTATTCACACCTTTGTTTAAATATCCTCACGGGATATAATTCCTTAATATAAAAACTATATATACGCGGCTTGATAATAAATTTGTTGTGGAATCTCTTCGCTGAATATTATGCTCTTAATAAATTATTACTAAAATAGCATAAAATTCTGTGTATAGCTTACATCATATTATTTATGAAATATTCGAAATATTTACTTAACAGATGAATTATTTGATCACATCACGTGAAGGTTGTCTCATATTTCATGCTAGCAAGTAAATCAATGTGAAATAAGTTGAAGGTAATCTCGGTGATATAAGCGAGAGCTTTTCTACTTTGTTTTGTTTTTGCTCTTCACGTTATAAACATTTAGACGACCGAAATTTTCCAGTTGAATGTTCATCAAGTCTTTCATGCAGATAATTATAGTGATCTTTGCTGAATTCTTCATCTTGATGGGAGCTCACAGAGAAACACATTTGTGGTGCTATTTCATATGTTGAATACAATGCATTTCGGCTACATCCATAAGTACCGCCTTGTTGTTTGGCACAACATGTATCACAATAATTTTGTGAATAAATATCATCAAGTTGTTTAACTACCTTTCGTAAGCGATGTCTGTGGAAATTTTGTAGGGTAGGATTACATTCTGGTTTATCATGTTTATAATTCCAGTTTCCACGTATACAAGGGTATAATAGTTTTAAATTTTTTTCCAATGGTATTGTTTCTGTTATTTCACTAACATTCTTTTGTTTACCGAAGGTCATATGATTTTGGAATGGAATAGATGGAGCAGTTACGCCTGTTATCATTGGTCTGTGCGCTAATTTACAATGCACTTCTGATATAAACGGGAAATTAGGCGGTCGAGATACTGGATATTTATAGGAAGACGTCTCATCTGTTCTACTATTCATTTATCGCCTATTGAATAAGTAAAGTTAATATAATAAGGTATGTTTACTTTAAATGTATGCTTATAGTACAGGTGTTGCTAATAGAAACTAAATTGGAAAAGCTTATTTTGATTGGTTAACACTAGCGCTATTCCTATTGGTGTTTAAGCATAGTTTAATAGTAATTGCTATATCAAATAGTAATCTTTTTTGCGGACTTTCTGCACTATGTTAGTAATTTCGCACGTGAATGAACTATAATTTTCAATAACAATAAGAATCTTTGAAGAAAGAAAATAAATTTTTCAAGCAAACTTATTGATATTAGTGAATGTTATGAATACTTGTATCTTCCACATGTAGACGGCAGATAGTAGGCTGAACTAAATGATCCGACTAAATATGGTGAAACTAATGATAATTAATGCACGCAGTTAGATTGAAAAATACTACCATATGATTAAATTTCGGTTACATCCGTCTAAAAGACAGCTGCAGTAAACATTTACAAATCGAGTAACTTTTTTTAAATTCCCTTCGTAATGATAACAGTAAAAACAATATTTCATCTCACACTTTCTTATAACCTGCAGATTATCTGAAATAGTAATGGGTATAGAAGAATGGAAATAGTGGACTTCACACGCTCAAATGGTTGTACAGAAAATTTCGTAAAGTGGCTACTCCGAGATCCAGAACATTGAAATTTTCAGTTTAGATCATTGTCAATGTATGCGCATTAACAAAATATAGGTTTAAGAAATGCAAAACAAGGGAGAAAGACAAGATATGAAAAATAATACTTATGCCCACCTTAAGCGATTATGTGGTGATTGACAATTTCTATCTCTGTATTGTTTAAATACTTACTGTTGTTTGTCAATATATATTCATTATATGAATTGAAAATAACTCCGGCAAATACAAATTCCTACATTCACCCCTCTCTGTGTTTTGGTTGAATTCCTGTAATTCGGTCATTGCGAAATACTACTACTATTACAAATAATTATAACAGATTACCTAACGACATGAGAAATTTAAGTACTTTAGACTACAATTAACTAAGCGAACTAGAATCAGAATAATAAAGGAGAACGCATTTAACTCAAAAAAACTACGCGTGCAGGATTAATAACACCTTCTTTTTGAATATATATATATATATATATATATATATATATATATATATATATATATACAACGGAAAACACTTTATTATCGTCGCTTGAGAGAAGTGCAGAAGTCTGGGTATCGTCTACAGACAATATTTTAAATAAACTAGTAACTTCAACAAAATGTCTTATATCTACTAGGTTTCTCGTGATTGTACTTTTCAGTCCATCCAATTTAATCGCTTCCACATATGCAAGTATATTCATAAACGCTATTTAAGGTGATACCTAAAGGGTATTTATCCCATTTTAATTGCTTTTTATGCACGTGTAGTGCTGCATCGAAAAGATCACAATGAGGTAACTGTTTTCCTGCAAAATGGACTGAAATTACCCCACCCACTCAAGGTCATTGAAGGATTGAGGCGCCTGAAGTTTACTTTCTTTCACATTAGATTACTGTCCCCTAACCGTTCGTTTACACATGGGCTTTTACGTTTATCCTAGAGCTACTCACAACTTATCTTAATGCATATTGCTCACAAAAGTTTCGTTTCACCTCATTTTTGTTTCCGTTGCTGTTAAAACTAGTTATTTCGTTTGTTTCGAAAGTTTTTTATCACCAGGTCAGTCCATTTGTTTCTTTGTAATTGTTTCATACGTTGAGTTCATGCGTTATTATAGTATTTTAGTTGTTTTTCAGCTGTTTATGAAATATTACTGTAAAAAAGTTTTGGAAATTATGCACATGAACGTGTTTGGGTGGCCAAAGCTGTTGTTTCTAGTGCATTTGTTGGTTGCCGGTTTTGTTGCTGGCTCATCTGGTTACTTAACGTGTAGAAATCTGGAAAACTATTGTCTTTCACGTTAATGTATACAGCATACAACAATCTACGAGTGAATCTGGTGAGGAAAGCATGGTCAGAGTTGATATTAGAAAGGTTTTCGACTATCATATTAAACCTTGAGAATTTAGAACCTGGGTTGAAGCTGAAAAAGCTTTTTGATAAGATGAATATACCATCAGTGTGTCTGTTATCAGTTAAAAAATCAGATATATATTGTGAGAGAATCTAAATCAAACAAGTTTGAGCCACATGAGAAGTATGAATCTGTTGTTCTTGTGTGTATTTTTGGGAACAAAAAGAAACTGAAACTGTTACGTATGCTTAATGTACTAGATCCAAATACATGAACTAGGACTGCTTGTAGTAAATACAGTGTTAACAGCTATTCAGTATGTTGCAAGACGACATATGATGATCTGGTGAAAGTACGAACGATCCCAGTTAAAGGTAAGACTTTTAGCAAGAATAACGTTTTGGGTTGTGGTCTGCGATCGGTGGTTTTCTCGATGTTGTGATTTCTCCGTGACTACAAACACGGATCTCCATGACTTTTAAGAAAACTTTAAATAAATTTTCCTTGAACTAGTGGTCTCTTTTTCTTGGCGAAACATCTGTTGATACGATTAGGTAACAAATTAGGATGTTCTGTGACTGAGAATCGTAGTCGTTGTGTTTCGGACTAATTTCGCGCATCTGACTATTATAACCCTATGGATACAGCTTTTTCCTCACCGTAAATTGTGATATCTAAAAATCATAAGTACACTCTTCGGTAAATTTATTTTTAGTTTTTAAGTTACCGCAAATAGTGAGTCTGTGGTGATTGAAAATTTCTATCTCTGTATTGTTTAAGTACTTACTGTTGATTGCTAATATGTTTCATATATGAATTGCATTAGAATTCCGCTAAATACAAATTCCTGAATTCCGCCCTCTCTGTGTTTTGTTTGGATTCTTGTAATTCAGTCATCTCGAAATACTAATACTACAATTACAATAAATTACTACAAATTGGCGTCGCGATGGAACTAAATAACCTGGGAAAATTTCCTCTTAATGGTTCTCCGCGGGAGATTGCTGATTATTTTGAATGCTTCGATGCGTGGTGCATTTCCAAGAATGTTCGGGATGACAAAATACCAGCACATTTCATTACTGCTATTGGGCTAGATGCGTATAGCCTAGTGAAGACTCTGTCGTTTCCAGATAAACCAATTTCTCTGCCATATTATAAACTCCGTAAACTTCTGATATATCACTTCCATATAACTACTTTTGAGACGCGAGAGAGGGCTCAATTCAACAAACTGGTTCGTGCTCCCAACCAGAAGATTCGAGAATTCATTCTTCAACTTCAAATTCAAGCTTCAAAGTGTAACTTTGGAGATCAGCTGCATACTCAACTACGTGATCGCCTAATTGCTGGAATCAATATTCCTAAGTTAGAGAAAGAGTTAATTCAGATTCCTTCTTGTACCTTTCAAACTGCTGTCTGTCTGTTTTCGACATAGAACTTTGCACAAATGTTCGGAAGTTCAAGTCGCCACATTCCGTGTAGCACGCGAAGCAAGAGAAGAAAGTACAAGAAAAGCATAATAGAAACAGCGAGCAGAGGTGTGAGACAAAGGAGTAATAAAGAAATACAAAACAATTTCATTGAAGATCATAAGTCACAGGGAGTGGATGCATCTGCGCCACTGAGAACGATTTTGAGCCATGTCACCAATTGTTTCCAACCATAGATTTTTGCCGTCCCGAGGACCCCAGCCTGGAAGTCTACACCTTCCTACGTGGCTAAGACCAACTGTTGTGGATTTCATTGACTGATGTCAAGTTTTTGTTTGACCGCCGCTAGCTTTTTTCCAGCCTGACCCTATATCCGCTAACATAGCTCGTCGAGGGAGGCGATGACTTGGCATACGTAACACATGTCCTAACCATCTCAGTCGATGTAGCTTCACGACTTCATCGATTGATTTCCCCTGTTTACCTAGAACTCGACGCCTAACTTCAATGTTGCTCACCTTATTATGCCACTTTACACGGGAAATAGAACGCAGGCACCTATGATCAAAGGCAGCTAGTCTTTTCATGTCTTCCACTCTCAGTGGCCAGGTCTCACAACCATAAAGGAGGACGGAGCGGACTGATGAGCAGTACACCCGCCCTTTGGTCGATAGTCGAACATCTCGTCTACGCCAGAGTCAGCGTAAACTAACAAATGTGAAACGAGCCCCTTGTATTCGTGCTGAGATTTCGTCAGAGATCAGCCCGTTGGAAAGGCTGATGGTACTTCCCAAATAAGTGAAGCGGTCAACGTGCTCTACCACTTCACTTCCTATTTTTAAACTAGGCGTCGATGTAGTCCAGTCCTGTAACATCATCTTGCATTTGGCGGGAGCGAATCGCATGCCAAACATTCGTAGATTGCTGTTCAAGGTGTTTAGAAGACTCTGCATTTTGTCAGCGTCTTCGCCTAGAAGGACTATATCGTCTGCATATTCCAAGTCGACGAGATTATTCCCCGGTAGCAAGTCAATCCCTGAATCGCTGAAGTCACCTAGGGTTAAGTCCATTAACACATCTATGATAAAGTTGAATAGAAAAGGAGATAATGGGCATCCTTGACGGACACCACTGGTCGTCATCAGTTCGGATGACAGCTCGCCGTAAGCCCTCACCTGGCTGTATGAGTACGAATAGAGTGCCTTAATCAGTGCAATATATTTTCTCGGGATTCCCTTGACAGCCAAGCATCAAACTGCTAAAGATGTATGTATTACATATGAAGATGTCAATAATGAATACTCTGCTCCCACTACGTCAGTGTCTGATGTTATGCTTTCTAAAGTCGAAAATACAAGTGGTAATGGAAAGCAATCCAAACTGCCGTCCACAGGTAATAGAATGCAGCCAGAGATCAAAAACATTAAACCGTGTTTTTCCTGTGGAAAGTTACATCTACGAAGCACTTGCCGTTTTCGGGGTGCTAAGTGTCACAAATGTGGTAAAGTTGGACACATCAAGACGGTTTGCAGAAGTTCGAATACTTATGTTGCTCAACATTCTTATAATTCTCCCAAGCTGTCTAGTAAAACGGAGTCAATGTGTCTTTCAACTTTTCGAAATACTCAATCTCATCCAATGAAAACCTCCACTACAAGTTCAGCAACTCAAGCGTCAACTGTTTCCAAAAATGAGGTAGCCGAGTTACAATGCGAACTGTCGAAAACACGAGAAGAACTGAATGAGATGAGAGAGCAACTGATTAAAATTGAGGAATTACTGCATATGCATAGACTGCGTCTGTTGAATGCAGAGCATACAAGTACCCGTGAAAGTCCTGCAAAACTATTCAAATCTCGAATTCTCAAGAAGCATCTGATGTCCACGACTTCTAATGTACATTATTACAAAGATAATAACTACAGACCTTCTGTCGGAATTATACTACAAAAAATGGGAAATCGAGTGGTGAAGATATTAGACATCAAAGATCACTCAGTTCATAACGGACACCTGAACAAAGTGACAATAAATGAAGTAGGTCGTTCCAATTATAATATTATTGATTCCGCTACTAATCCTGATTTTGTAGATAATTCTGAAATAAGTCCAGATAACAGTGATGAAGATAATATCACAGAATCAGTTAGAAGGTTGCAGCTACTTGCAAGCAAACCGAGACATCGTTATAAATACGCGAGGAGATATTCGAGGTGTGGCGGATGTGGTGATTGAAAATTTCTATCTCTGTATTGTTTAAGTACTTACTGTTGATTGCTAATATGTTTCATATATGAATTGCATTAGAATTCCGCTAAATACAAATTCCTGAATTCCGCCCTCTCTGTGTTTTGTTTGGATTCTTGTAATTCAGTCATCTCGAAATACTAATACTACAATTACAATAAATTACTACGGAGTCATTTGAGGTGATAGGATGAATACCTCTTAACGCTTTTGTGGAGGTTAGGGTATATTTACCTTATTTGAGTAGAAAACGAACTTTTTAACAAGAAATTTCTTATAATTTCCACTTTTATTTTGTTATTCAAAGATAATGTTAAGTTGGAGACAAAGGTTTTAGCTATAGATTACCTTCAGCGGAAACTATATTAAGGTCGCTTTACGTAATGCGTCATAGAAGTAAACAGCGTAGGTTAATTGTGTCTAAGTATATTAAAAGTTGTATGACTGGTGAAATCGTAATTCTTATTTACGAGTTAGTTTTATAAATAATGAATGTATCGTACAAGCGTTTACCTTGATTTCCGTACCTAGATCGTAAACACTATGCCTTCATGTGGTGAACATTTACAACTGATATGCTGTGTGATGAATTAGTCCGAGATACTTAAAGTCAGACTTGATTTCTATATCACTGTCATCAATTTTGCAACGGCAATAGGAATTAACAGCTTCACCTAACTTTCTTTTACATCGGAAACTGAAAATAACAGTCTGACATTTCGAAGGATTTAGTTTAAGAGCATTTTCTGACTCCTAATGGAGAGCTGTTCATTTTAGTATAGTGTAGCTAGGAGTTAACAGACAATGAAATAGTTAGATCGTCCGCGTACTTGAAAAAGTTCTTTTCGTATGCATTCGTACATTAAATTCGTCAAGCAAAAATACAATTGGTACTTCCCCCTGACCTACAGTGTGCTGCTTTCTTCCTGATAAACAAGAATGTAGCCATCTAACAACCCAACACTCAGTTCGAGTTTCAGCAAGCTTTTTAAACTAAATATCCCTAGGTACTGAGTCCAAAGCAGATGTGTAATCTAGGAAGGTGCACCGAAAAAATTCAGCTCCCTTGTCTATGCTGGAGAAAATGTTGTGATGCAAGACTGCAGCTGCATCTCAAGTACTTCTACTGTGTTTATAAGCAAACTGTTTGGTATCGTTAAAGGCTTTAAGTGAAGTAAGAGTAACTTTTCCATAATCTTTTAGAAAACGAAAGATAATAGCAATATGTCTAAATTTAAAACATGTTCCAGTAGATGACTAGGGTAAATATACAATTTTAATGTCTTTCCAAACGGCTGGCACATTTCTGGAGAAGATTCATCAAATATGTCCATCAGAGGATAACACAAGATGTCTGGACACTTTTTAAGAAAAACACTAGGCAAGCAATCTGGACCTAGGCCACAAGAAGGGTTCAGAGACAGGAGACATCTCAGAACATCATTTGTATTGAAACCAAGGAAGCAGGTTTTATTAACACTAGAAAGTTTGGCATTTGTGACAGAATGTATGAAGGACTTGTTTAGTGTACACATATCAAATGAATAGGGAATACTGTTGTAATCCTGGAGGTAATTAGATGCATAAAGGCGTGAGTTATTTAATATCCATAAAGTAGACATTGCAAATATCGCAGTTGCTGATCGTTTAAATGATGGATATTAGATATTATCACATGATTCTACGGCGTATTAGAAATAAATAAAAATTGTTTCGGTGCTCATTGTCAAATGAACGGTCTATTTGATGATGTCACTGCATATTAACATATTAGTGAAGCAGCTATCAAGCCTAAATTACTACATTTACTTGTACTACATACTTGGCGTTTAACAGTATACTGACTTGCAAATGACTAGAAAAGGAGACTTTAGCGTATCGAAAAGTACAGAATTATTATTCTGTTAGATAAATCCTGACTGATGTCTTAAAGAATATGAGGAATAAGTCAGCAATATCGTCAGAAATATACGAACGCATCAGACCAGTAGGCTCCATTATACCACGTTTGTATGGACTACCAAAAAAAAAAATACATAAGACAGGATTACCGCTCCGTCCAATCCTCGATATGGTGGGCTCTCCTTATCACGGAATCGCTCAATGGCTAGCCGAAATATTGGAACCAGTCAGAAGGCAAGTGTCTAAGTTTTCCATTGATGATACGTTTAAATTTATTGATAGTATTAAAGAATTTAATGTCTCAGAAAAAGTCCTGTTCTCATTAGATGTCACGTCGCTATTTACCAATGTCCCTCTCATGGAAACTGTTAGCTATTTATGTGAGTATATTGATACACATGGTTTGGAAATAGGTTTACCGACAATCCACCTCAAAGAACTTTTATTGAGATGCACGTTGAATGTTCAGTTCACCTTCAACAATGAGATCTATAGACAGAGAGATGGCATTGCCATGGGATCACCACTGGGTCCTTTGTTAGCTGATTGTTTTATGGCAAAGCTGGAAAATTCTCAACTTAGTCAAACCATCGGGCATTTTGACATTTATAAAAGATACGTAGACGACACTTTCATCATCTGCGATAAGAACGTAGTTCTTGATGATGTCTTGTTCGCCTTCAACAACTGCCATCCTTCTTTACAATTCACCATAGAAAAGGAATCGGAACTAAGTATTCCGTTTCTTGATGTGTGCCTTAGCAGACGGAATGACGGATCTCTCAAGAGATCGATCCACCGGAAACGTACATGGAACGGACAACTAACTAATTTTTACAGTTGGGTGCCTATTTCCAGGAAAAGGAATTTAATCCATTCACTCTGCTTTAGGATAAGGAAAATTTGTAGTTCTGATTGCGTCGACTCAGAACTTGACTTCCTGAAAGCCACACTCGCAGAAAACGGTTACCCTAACCGATTTATTGACAGCAACATGAAAGATAAGCAGTCTAAACTGGTCACTGACTCAGTTCCAAAGAAAACCCTATTCGTGAACTTGGAATTCAAAGGAGATCAAGCTTCTGATATGCTCAAAAATCGTCTTTCTAAATCAGTTAGTAAAACGTTCCCTGCAGCTAGATTACATATGACGTTCACGAGCCGCAAACTGTTCTCTACCTCTGTAAAAGATAAGCTCCCCCGTCTGACCGCCTCCATGTGCATCTACCAGTTCACCTGCTCTTGTGGAGCAAGGTACATTGGCCGTAGTCAGAGAATGCTCTCCACACGGATACGAGAACATATTCCAGCTTGGTTTTACAAGGGAGAAAGGAAATGTGTGCGAAGCTCTATCTTAGAACACCTCATCGACTCCTGTCACTCGGTCAACCCTGACCATGATTTCAAGGTCATATATAGAATTCATGCCAACTTCCCGCGTTTTCTTCGTTACAGACTTCTAAAGACAGCTGAGGCCTTGGCAATTCATGACTTTAAGCCAGACCTTTGTGTACAAAAGAAGTATGTACAATCCCTACTGCTGCCTTGGCCGTAGAGGGATAGACATTTATTTATTTTATTATTCTATGTACTTTTCCCTTATTACTTCGATTATTATTATTATCATTATTACGACTCTCATTCTGAATCTTTTCCACTTGATCTACTTGACATTTTAAACCAAAAATTATTCATGTGTATACTTTTTATCTTTATTTTTACAATATTAAATTCTATGTTATCAAATTTCACACCATGTTACGTAACATTTTACATTCGTCTATTAATCTTACAATTATATGCCTCTCCCCAAAATCTATACACCTGATGTATTATCTTATATATGACATTAATTATTGTTCCACTTGACTTAAACTATGAACCTAATCACAAATATTTTAAATTTATTTCATACTATTATTATTTCATGTATTTACACCGTTGACCTAATTCCCTCACCGGATATAATTTCTTTATAAAACCATATATATACGATTGTACAGCTTGATAATAAATTCGTTGAAAAGAGTCTCTTCGCTGAAAATTGTGTTCTTAATGAAAACAATAAAGCACACGTAAGGACTAACACAAGATAAAGTTGGAAAAGATAATTCTACAAATTAGCATACACTATGAATTGCACAAATTGCAACCTGGGATAACGTGTCTACGGTTCCTCATTTAACTATTAGTCGACAATTAAATCAGAGTTAAATCTATTACGTACACAGGTCGTATCATAAAAGAACAAACTGGCAGTAGCTCAACGACTCACATTATCAAAAAGCAGTTGATTTTAATTGAAAATATATTTAATAATCTTGGCAAAAGAATTTACAATCTTTAGATAACTTTCTAAAGTAGAACATTCTATAAATCACCGGGAAAAGTCACCCGTGTGCTTTCGGCGTCTGGCCGGTTTTCTTTGTTGACGTCGACGGTGATCTGAAAAATGAAATTTGGAAAAAATTAAGATCTACCATTGGGGAACGCCGTCGCCTTACTTAAGTATTGCAATTGTGTAACCTAGAAATCAGTCCGAAATCTCAGTAATGTCTAGCGAGCATAGTTTTATGAATCCTATAGAAATTATATTCTCATATTAAGTAAACTATGGCCATCAAATATAAAGTACATACATCTCAACTCTTAACAGTTATGCAGAGTGTTAACAGAATAGAAAAATACTTAAAATATTGCATGATACACCGACCTGTTGTGTTGATGAGGATAACAATGCCACTATGCGTTCGTGTTCGTGTACCAAAAATAGTGTGTAATCAAGCTGTAATCAAAAATAAAAATGAAATATAATGAGCGAAGTTAAACTGTCGACACCACTAACTACCAATCAGCGAGTTATCCAATGAGGTTCACGAACGTAGTTCAATGTTGATTCATTTCAAATGCGTGACCTTACAAGGTTACGGTTGCAATTCGAGGAGGTTGGTGGGCAAAGTTTAAGAATGGAGTCCCAAGAGATGCGAACGCACAATGACCTTGAGCCGACCAATAAGAAAATAGGAGGAATTTTGCATAAAATTTAACGTATATTTACACAAAAATGCATGAAAAAAACATTAAACGGATTATATTTCTCTGATATGACTTAAAAATACGTTCCAGTTGCGATGAAGAGTATCAGTTGCTAATTTGGACTAGTTTCTGTAGATGTATTCACCAAAGAGACTGAAGGTGTGCTGTTTTGGGAATGGTTCATCTCTCTTCTCTTGCTGTGTAGTCCTCTCCTCAGCCCTCGGTTTAGTTACTATGGTTCCAGTAAGAGCATTGGCGACTACATACAAGGGAAATAAGGATAACAAAAGAACTTGAAATAAACCAAAAATCTATTCCTAATCGCTACCCTAACCCTAACTCCTAAACCCTAACTAAACCTTAACCCTAACCCTAGCCCTAACCCTAACCCCTAACCCTAAACCTAACCATAACCCTAACCACAATACTCGCCTTAACCCCTATCCTAACAAAAAAAAAAAAAAAAAAAAAAAACCAAACAGTAATAAAAGTATTATCTGGGTGAAACTTGCTCCTTATTTGATGAATAGGGTTGATATTTCAGCTATGATAATGACAGGAACCGTTAGCCAACGACTAGCATGCGTTCAAGGTCATTTGAGCGTTGAAGGTTTTGGGACCCTATTCTTAAACTTCGCCGGTTGGTGTTTTCCAGTATTTCCTGAGTTGACAGCTTACTCTCTCTAAGGCTAACTAGCTTTAAGCATATTGCACAACGACGGACAAATCCATCAGTTGACCTGCTAAAGCTTTTTAAAGTCATGACGCTACCACACAAACAAGTCCTCTCCTTCCGGAGCAACCCTAAATCCAGGCAATACTGGGGAACACTATCCTCCTCCAATTGAAACCGTAACCTTGTGTAACACTCGAAAAACAGCAGGCACAACCAACGAAGGAAATAGACGAAGATGCGAGAGGCAAGGCTCGAATTGCCCGGTTACAAGCTAATTATCGTCATTTATAACAAGTTTTGACAAACAGTCTTCTTCCATTATGGGTAAATTTTGTTTTGATAAAGTCTCACAGTGTTATACAGTAATGTTTACTGATGACGTTTCGAGCACAATTTATTGCTCATAATCATATCAAGGTAATCACACGACTTCCTAAATTCATTTATATAGTTCCATTGTTTTTCTCTTGACTTTCACTTGATTTGATTGGTAGTAGACATATCGTAGCAGACATATTTATGGACAGCTGGGAAAATAGTGCCCTCAATACATTTAACCCTACTCCGAAAATATGGTGGAGATATGTGGATGACACTTTCACAGTGCTAAAAACAGAACACATCTCTAGCTTCTTGACACATATAAACTCACAAGTTGAGGGAATAAAATTCACATTTGAATCAGAAAATGAACAAGGAGAATTAGCTATGTTAGATTGTAAGATAAAAAGAATAGAAGAAGGCAAACTACACACTAGTGTTTATAGAAAACCGACGCATTCTAATAGATATTTAGACTTTAATTCGTCTCATCCTTTAACTGTTAAGGCAGGCTTAGTTAAATGTTTAACAAACCGAGCAGTGGCACTAAGTAGCACAAAAAAAGATCTAAATGATGAATTAAAACAGATAGAAGAAGCGTTGGTGTTGAATAACTATCCTATAAAATTCATTAGGAAGATCACTAAAGGCCAAAAACAAAATAAAAATAATTGTGAAACTAGTAATAATAACATAAATAAGAAAGAATATAAGTCATCCACAGTTATACCATATAAAGAGGGGACATCTGAGACACTACGTAGGATTCTGAATAAAATAGGAATTAGGGTGGCATTTAAACCTACAAACTCACTCAGGGACAAGCTCTGTAGGTTAAAGGACCCAGTTGACCCAATTAGACAAAATAATATTATTTACAAAATACCATGCAATGACTGTGAGGTCAACTACATAGGTCAAACTAGTAGGTCAGGGGTAGTCAGATTGTCAGAGCATAAGAATTTAGCTAAGGTAAGAATGGTTGACCCCGAGAAGATAAGTAATTTAGAAAAAAGCTCAGCAATTGCAATGCATGCGCTAACACACAACCACACAATAGGGTGGCAGAGAGTTAGGATTCTAAGAAGTAATCTATGTAGGTGGAGAGAGACGTTGATTACTGAATCCTTGTTCATCGAGTCTACACCCAACACATGCAATAGGAATGACTCGTCACTCATACCTGAAATATGGAAAATACTACTACCAATCAAATCAAGTGAAAATCAAGAGAAAAACAATGGAACTATATAAATGAATTTAGGAAGTCGTGTGATTACCTTGATATGATTATGAGCAATAAATTGTGCTCGAAACGTCATCAGTAAACATTACTGTATAACACTGTGAGACTTTATCAAAACAAAATTTACCCATAATGGAATTACACTCTACCACAGTGCACAAGTTTTATTCTTATATTAATGATACATATGGTCTTCCTACTAGGAAGCTTATCAACAAACTCACACGACTTAGTCAAACTGAAGCAAGATTTACAAATCATCGGATTTTTAACAGTCGATGTTTAAAAAGCCATATAATTCCAAAATATTTACGTCTACGTACTCCAATTACTTCAAACAAAATAACATCAGCCGCAGAACATGTCAGTAAATTATGTCTAAGAGAAGAATTACATAGAGTTACTGTAAAACTAAATAATATACGAAATCAAATTGAAAAACTTAAACAAAAACTCAAATGTATGATCAATGACAAAGATTATATAATTGTTGTTGAAACATCCAACAAAGCCAGAGAATCCGCATTAAGAAAATCAAAAATCACGCAAATCAAAAAATTCAACAAACTAATAGAAGAAAAGAACACAACAAATGAAACAGATATGAATGCTGCATCCTCTATCGACAGAACAAAGTGGGTGATCAACCTCTCATCAAGGGAACTAAACTCTAATGAGATAAAAGTACTTGAAAAAGGACTAAATTTTAACGTAACAGTTAATAAATTAAAACCAGAGGACGTCATTCCTAACATAGAAGCAGCACTAAACTCAATAGATAAGACTACAGCAGAAGAGGTTCGAGCACAATGTGCATTAACACTAAAAAATCAAAAGAAAACAAAATCAAACTTAACCAAATCGGAAAGGGAAGCTTTAATTAGTCTTAAACAGGATAAAAACATTGTCATCGCAAAAGCTGACAAAGGAAACGCCACCGTAGTATTGGATAAATCTGACTACATCAAAAAAGTTACTGAACATATTCAAACGGGTCCATATGAGGAAATTAAGAAGCCTGTGGATACAATAATGAATAAGGTTAAGAAATCTACAGCGGAACTAATACGCAGAATGAAGCCATCCCTGGGTGAGTCTAAATGGTTTAATTTAATGCCTAAAACTAATAATGCTAGTAGAATATATGGTACTATAAAAATACATAAGCCAGGTTACCCCATAAGACCAATAGTAGATTTTAGAAATACCCCCACGTATGAACTATCAAAACACTTAGCTCTAATACTATGCCCCATTAGAAATCGTTCAAACTCTAGATTAACTAATTCATATGAGATGAAAAATAAAATAAATGACATTCAACTAGCGAATGATGAAACAATGGTTAGTTTTGATATAACTAGTCTTTATACTAATATACCAGTTAATATGGCCTTAGAAGCAGTTAAAAAAGAATTAACTGCGGATCCGGAACTCAGTCATAGGACAAAGCTGTCCATTGAAGAAATTATTTTAGGAATTCAGTTATGCCTCACATCTACTATCTTTAAGTTCCAAGGCAAAATATATAGACAAACAGAAGGTGTAGCAATGGGATCACCAATATCCCCTATCGTAGCAGACATATTTATGGACAGCTGGGAAAATAGTGCCCTCAATACATTTAACCCTACTCCGAAAATATGGTGGAGATATGTGGATGACACTTTCACAGTGCTAAAAACAGAACACATCTCTAGCTTCTTGACACATATAAACTCACAAGTTGAGGGAATAAAATTCACATTTGAATCAGAAAATGAACAAGGAGAATTAGCTATGTTAGATTGTAAGATAAAAAGAATAGAAGAAGGCAAACTACACACTAGTGTTTATAGAAAACCAACGCATTCTAATAGATATTTAGACTTTAATTCGTCTCATCCTTTAACTGTTAAGGCAGGCTTAGTTAAATGTTTAACAAACCGAGCAGTGGCACTAAGTAGCACAAAAAAAGATCTAAATGATGAATTAAAACAGATAGAAGAAGCGTTGGTGTTGAATAACTATCCTATAAAATTCATTAGGAAGATCACTAAAGGCCAAAAACAAAATAAAAATAATTGTGAAACTAGTAATAATAACATAAATAAGAAAGAATATAAGTCATCCACAGTTATACCATATAAAGAGGGGACATCTGAGACACTACGTAGGATTCTGAATAAAATAGGAATTAGGGTGGCATTTAAACCTACAAACTCACTCAGGGACAAGCTCTGTAGGTTAAAGGACCCAGTTGACCCAATTAGACAAAATAATATTATTTACAAAATACCATGCAATGACTGTGAGGTCAACTACATAGGTCAAACTAGTAGGTCAGGGGTAGTCAGATTGTCAGAGCATAAGAATTTAGCTAAGGTAAGAATGGTTGACCCCGAGAAGATAAGTAATTTAGAAAAAAGCTCAGCAATTGCAATGCATGCGCTAACACACAACCACACAATAGGGTGGGAGAGAGTTAAAATTCTAAAAAGTAATCTAGGTAGGTGGAGAGAGAGGTTGATTACTGAATCCTTGTTCATCGAGTCTACACCCAACACATGCAATAGGAATGACTCGTCACTCATACCTGAAATATGGAAAATACTACTACCAATCAAATCAAGTGAAAATCAAGAGAAAAACAATGGAACTATATAAATGAATTTAGGAAGTCGTGTGATTACCTTGATATGATTATGAGCAATAAATTGTGCTCGAAACGTCATCAGTAAACATTACTGTATAACACTGTGAGACTTTATCAAAACAAAATTTACCCATAATGGAATTACACTCTACCACAGTGCACAAGTTTTATTCTTATATTAATGAAACAGTCTTCTTCTTGCTCTAGCACGGCTACACCAGCCTTAATTTCTGAAAAAGAAGAAACAGGAAACTGATTTAATGATACCATGATAGTTTTTATGTAATTACACTAGTAAAGGCACGCATTTTAAATGAATCAAGCGCTGTACAATATTGAACTAACGTTCGTGAATCTCATTGGATAGTTCGACGTCGTTCGCTGATTGGTAGTTAGTGGTGATTAAATTTTAACTTGGACCTGTAAGCATTTACAGGTGATTTCCAAGTACTGATACAATTCTTTTTTCAAAAAGCACGGTTCTTCACATGAAAATATGCTGTATTGATATCCTGGAACGTGAAGTTTTCATTAAATGATACCATGCCGAAAGCTGCAGCCTCTGAATAAAGTAGACTATTTATGTAGATGGCATTACCCCCCAACTATCCCGTCTTCTTCATTACAGCGATATTTTCATACAGTCTGCCTGAAACACTGATCATTGCAACCGATATACTATGAGTGTGTCGCAGTCAGATTACACGACGCGGACACCAATATAACTAGTCAGAAAATGGAAATTCCCATCATTCCAGATATAAAATAACACAATTTTATTAAAAGTTATTGACAAGAAACTTTCCAAGCGAAATTTTAATAGAACGTGATGTATAAGTCCAGCCAAGAGCCAGTTGTTGATTTCAAAGTTGACGGAAACTTTCTATGTTTGCCTCAGACATAAAGGAGAATTTTCACACATTTCTGCAAATCAGCTCCGACAGAATTGGTGGAGACACCCGACAGAGCTTCTGAGGCTACGAAACCTTCACAGGCATTTCTTCAGCCCTATCTCCTGATACTTCACGTAAGACGTACCTCCTTTCCGCGAGTGACTTGTCTACTTTTTATATGAAACAAATGCTTGACGAGTTATGAAGTCTTTGGAAGGAACTTGGAGATTGCGATTCTTTCCACAACCAGCCCCGCAGCAAATCTTCCTCATGTCGTGGTAGATGACGGTTGACATCAGGCTTCTCGAAACCTGTTTGTTAATTGGTATCAAAAGCGTTATGATGTCAAGGCACAACGGTGTAACTATCCCTATAGCTGTGAAACTAACCATTCGAGAAACGTGTTGGCCGGCACATATTGGTAACTAACATCGCTGATGAAACGCTCTCTTATCGCCTTTTCCACGTCACCGATCACCACTCTAGGATATGCTCCTTGGTTGATGCTGAAGACGGGGCCAGAATAGTCCCACCAAAACCAGAAGAACATCTGCAAAAAATCTCTACGACTTCATGCCGCAAATGGTTTGCTTATCACAACTCATGAGAGATTTTCACACCTTAATATGGAACTCCACCATCCTTTCTATTAGGTTTTCATCGTGGCCTATGTGACCACTGGCACTATTGCTGTGGCTCTGTTGCAGATGCTCTCAAGCAGAAGTTGATAGGTCCTGTCGGTGCAGTCACTAGTAAACCCTCCGTCAGCCTGCTGTAAAGTTTCATGTTAGGTTTGAGAAAGATTAAGGTTTAGGTTAAGGACAGGATAAGGTTAGGTCAGCTTAACAGGGGCCAACCTGAGGTTGATTTGCGTAAGAATATGGTAGGGTTATGGATATTTTCACACTAAGGTTGGTGTCAGCCAACTCTGATAAGCTGTAAATGTCCATGTTTTACTACACTAGACCTCACGCTATCCCTCGAAGCCTTTCAAAAACGCTTAGTATTAACGGACACAAAAACCAAAACACCGATTGGCGACTCGAGAATTCTTTATTCTAACACCAACATATAAGTGGCATAATAAACTAAGGTCTATGAACAAATGTTACAATAATAAATCACGATATTACTTCTGACGGTTTTGATCTTCTTTCTGAACAGCGACCGATGAGACGATGACTGGCAGATTGATGCGTCCGCGAGAATATAGGGAAGTTGGGTTTGAGCAAACAACCATGAATTGATCGTTCAATCTTCAACTACATTGACAGGGTTACTGCTGCCAGTGCTAACCCAGCCGAGTTTGTCAATGATAGATATTGTAATATACCATGTCAAACTCCCTGGATATATCGAAGTAGAGAACAACGACTAGCTCATGTGCTTCGCGAATACTAGTGGTGTGGTTGAAAAAGTCGAAGTGACAACTAACGCAGGACCTATTTTTGTGAAATCTCTGTTGAGACCTGGTGACAAGATCTTCATCAAGTAGATAGTCTGACAATCGGTCTTTAGCGACTTTCTCGAGGATTCGCAGGATAAGTGGAGTTATATTTACAGGTCTGAAATCGCAAACGTCCGTCCTATCACCACATCTAAATCGTGGAAGTGTAAAGCTAGTTTTCCGCTTATTAGGGTAAGTGCCAATGTCTACAGACATTCAAAAGAATTTAAGAAGTAATGGGGCAGGCAAGCTATCGGGTTTAAATCCGCAAGCTTGTTTTGAGTTACTTCCAGTGGAGACTTAACCTGGCCAACATCAGAACAGTTCTCCGTGATATTTGGGATTAGCAGTGTCATACTATCAAACCGACCTAATTTCTCCTGAGGTTCACTTACTATCCTCTGGATATCCTTCAGAAGGCGGTTTAATTTACAGAACTCAGAGTTCTCTAATAGAATATCTATCAGCTGTATCACAGAAGTGAGAATTGCACTCCAGCCGCTTTGTGAGCTAGTAGTTGATACTGTATTACAGGGCGGTAATGCAGTTATATCCGAATTTGATCCCCTACCTAATACACGTTATTTGGAAATTTGGACAATATTTTTGCGGATTATACATCAAAAAGCAATTAATGAGTATCAGAGAAAACACGCGCAAAAATGTCATCAGTTTCGGACGTACCGTGAGTTGTTCTGAAGGAGTCAGCTTCAATTTGAAGGTTCCTGTAACTAGGTGGTGGTCTGAAACCGCACCTTGCCCCCTTCTCGACTCTGTGTCCAGCAAGCTGTTATTCCACTTCCTTGAGTAGCACTGCCCATCAAGAAAGCCCCATGTTACTTTGTGTAAATGCTTGTGCTCGTTCACTCTACCTACAATCACCAAATCACCGAAGACGCAGAAGTTCGCAGAGTTCTCTTTTCCAATTCACCCGCCGACAGTATTTAAGCCCATTGTGAGTTCTCTTCCTGTGTTTTCTGTTCCTGTCTATACATTTACTTGTCCCATAAGGATTTTGATATCAGTATTTGGGATGTTGCCTGTCATCGCTCTTAGTTTTCCATAGAACTCTTCTTTGGCTTTGGGTTGTCTTTAGGTGGATAGAATTGGGTAATTGTAGACTTTATTTGGGATTGAATTTCGCTGTGATAACCCTGGATCAAACTAGCTTACACTCCCTTAGTGTTCGTGGTTGTCGTCTGGGCCAAAGGCGCAGATTATCGAATCTCCAGTAACACAGTGGATAGTCTATCTCCATCACACCTGCTCTAAAAGATTCCTAGCAATCCTGTGACACATCCTCTCATTCCTTTGGCAATCTGTGCACCCTTCCAAGCCCCTTGCTGAGTTGGGTGCAGATATGCAGCCGATTAAGGTAGAAAGTGAGTATATAGCCCTTTTTAGAGAGGAGCCAATTTTATGATTCAATACAGTGAGTGTCTGTAGTACTTCTCTTACTTCTGTAAGCGGACTGTTTGGCGTCACTCAAACTCTTCAAAGAGGATCAAGGTTGAGCGAGAGTAATTAATTCCAGAAAAGGAAGGGTGATTGCAATAGGCTTGAGTTTAAGATTGATATTAGAACATGATTTAGGTACAGGGATGATTTTATTGTCATTCCGCGCAGCAGGCATAGGACCTGGACTTTGAAAGGGCCTTTGAACGTCAAAAGTGTTGAACTCATGAAAGTTACCGACCTTCATATTCGTTACACTGGGATAAAGGCATTTTGGGAGAGTGAATGAAAGATATTTTGAGAGTATTTACATCAAAAGAAGGGAGAATAACACATTTATATTTACACCGAAGTTCAAGGTGATAAATCATCCCTATCAGTGCAAAAGTAAGCACTCACAACGACTGCTTCAGGGACAGACATTAGAAGATGTACCCACATCAGAATTCCTCTGGTATACGAAAAAAGTAGTAAGTGAACGGGAAACGTCACCGAATAAACCTAAGGGCATTCTTGATTCAGCAGGTAAAGTAGGCCTTATAAATCACTAAGGAGATGCAGATCCTAGATGTTTATTGATCATACCCCTGTGAATTCCTCGATCGCTTACAATATTTGAGTCGCCGTGGCACACTATGTAATAGGGACCCTACATCAGCCGTCGCCTAGAAGCGATTTCCATAAGAATGTCGGTTTCGTTGGCCTGGCTTTCAGGGCCATGCACTCGAGGAATACGACGTCAGCTGATGAATCGCTATTTCGGATCTCCACAATATGAGGATGCTGAACATACATAGTAAACAATTACGCGCGCGACTCCAACCGAACGTTTAAATCTCTTACGTAACGTGGATATATTCTTACCGATATCTGGAATAAAGTAGTGGATATTATACCACTACTTCACCAAAACTTATACCGTATACTAGACGGCTTCTATTATCCAGATGTGCCACGGTCAGTTATCAACTTTGGATTCACTCTTTCGCAATGCTCATCCTTGTTATTGAAATTAAAGAACAAAATAACACAAAAGGAAGCTAAAACCAGGTTCAAAAATTTGTGGTTTAAAATTAAGGATCAATTCGCAGGAAAATTCGTTTTAATCATTCAAGAGTATTCTCCGTGAAATGTCACTTATATACTTTGCGATAATCCTTTTATCTAATTACCATTGTACTATATTTTATCTCAACTCCCTAGGTCTTTAATAAAACTTAAATTTTTACTTTTTTCATTCACATTTCTCGCTCTCTTAAAGTCTGGTTGCTTTGATGAAGAAGAAAAGATAACAACAACATCCAAGTTTGAGAATAACAACATTTTCATCGAAAACGTCATAGGTTTCCATGGTGAGACCAATATGGTTATCATCATACATTTCAAATGTGTACTATCATTGCAATTACTCTATAGCTACTTCTTGTAAATGTACTTCTAGTGATGTATTATCCGCAACTGCATCTTGTGGCATTTTGCAGCTATCCAGGACGCTCTACTCTTCCTTGAATAGCGTCCCTCAAATATACGTTGTTAACTATCATCAGGAAATGGAACGAAGTTTGGGTTGTCACTCGACTTTGATGGTAACCTTCGTGAAGGGTTTACAATTGTACATTGACACGGATCTGTTCCGATTGCTTGTACTACAATTAAACAATTTGAACTTTTGAAAAAGTGATAGTCCATGCTAATTCACAATCGTAATTTGTAACATAAATGATCGTGCCTGTAAAATTGGTATGCACTTCAAAACATTTTAGTATTACATTTATACGCAGTGGATTAAGGTTGTTCATCTAGAGGTTTATGAAGAAATATAGTCCAATTCGTCATCAAAGATAACTGCTAATGCTTCGTTCTATTTGTGGAGTAAGTGTTGAAGTTGGACTTGGTATCTGAAATTTCGTGACACGTACATAAAGTGAAGTTAAGGGGTCAACGTCAGGACCAGGTGCTGAGTTTTATAAGCTATACCATTACTAGTTGTCAGCACACTTTCGCTGTCAGTTCCGGCCACAGAAGATGGTAGTGACACATCAGTTTGACACTTGCGGCGTATCGGCGAGCTGTGTGTCTCACTGCCATAATTTTTGAAGGGTGCGTCGCTCGTTGTTTCAGGCAGACGTGTGCTATCAGTTGTCGGGTTAACAGGTGACTGAGTCCGTGGTTTTTGTATATGATCAACCCTAACTAAATTTGTGAATGGGTTTCCGGTCACAAATTAGGAACTACAGAAGCTCTCCTGCGAGTCTAACAAGAAAAATAGAAATATTATACGAATCACCCTGAGATGTAACGCAGGCGTTAAACGTGCCAAGTAGGTTTATTTATCAACAAGTATACCTCTAAGTCGATACACACAGACCTATAATATACCAATAGGCCATAAAGGATCACCGTTCTTGTTCTTTTGCCTTTGCACGAAGTGATAAAACGTGTCTCTATGTTTGAAAACGAACTTGTTTAGCAGTTGCTTCAACGGATGAATGTGTGCGATAGATCCTCGTCACAGTTTTTGTGCCACACGCAGTCGACAAAATGCACAAAACCGTGTCCCGGGACCAGGCTACCCCACAAGCAACGGGTGAACGACTGGCCCTCTCACCGTCAGCGACTACTGAGAAGGGGTTCCCAGATAGTCACATATTCTGTGCCATGACTCAGCACTCTGGCTTGGACTTCTCGTCTGATACAGGAGCTGAACTTATTTTCATACCAAAATGGAAGGCCAAGCCGGGGTGGCGAGGGTTTTCCGCCACTCTTCAGGCAACCAATAAAATTCAGATCACCACGTTAAGGTACAAACATTGATGCCCCAATTCAGGTTTGAGTGGCAGCTGACACTGTTGCTGACCTAGACCTATCAATCCTCGGCATAAATTTCCTGGAAGGATATAATTTACTAGCAAACACTCGAAAGAAGTATTTAGCAATAAAACCAAGCTTCGTCAGTATCAACTGAAAGGTTCTGGAAGATACTAGGGCAACCTGAAACTAGCGAAAAATGAATGTGACTGGACACATCAGCTGAGGATCTTTCATGTCTTGAGTTTTCCATGGGATTCATCTTTCAACACGGTGTATATGGCAACTCCAACTGACTGACGCCCCTGTGGTGGTTACAGAGCCCCAAATAGACAAACCGCTTCAAAGAGATACCCAGTAATACAGGCTGAGGACTTACTTAATAGTCTTTAAGGTGCTACAATATTTAAAACTAGTGATTCCATGTTAGTTTGTTTATTAGGTGTATCACACAGTGAAGCAGTAATATTTACCGGATGGCGTTTGGAACAAAATGTATCGTTGATAATCATATCAATCATAATCACACTACTTTGAAACTGAAGGAAAACCATAACCCAAAATGGGATGAATAAAACTAGTTCCATGTGATGCAAGATCACATAATATCTGTAGGAGTTAAAATTTTGACATTACCCATGGACATACCCTGTTTTATTTCTTTGCAAAACACTTGTTTATCTAAATTTTCTGTGTAGACGGTGAGGCAATTTCCAGAGTCTGATGAAATAGTTTGCCTCCTTAACTAGCAACAATTACCTGCTCGATGATCAGGGCCAGTAGAAATCCTACCTCAACGACAAGGGTTCGGGCAGACCTCTCGAGACATTTTCTCAAGCGGTTTCTTTCTCAGTATACTCAAGTTTCACATTCTGTCCCTACTTAGTTCTTGTCTTATATGCAAATCGGTTATTAATTTGAGATAAATGATTTAATTGTATAATTTTGTCAGCATTTTTATCGTAAGCAACACCAGAAGTGAGTTGTACTCAATGCAGATTAATATTGGCTATTGTCACGCAAATTTGTTTTACTGCGCCCACGTCAGCTAAAGCCGCCATTTGTCACTGCATGGTTGTGCCATACGAGTAAGTTGATCAACATGTAGAAAGCTATATGTAAACCATTTTAGATTATTGATACTGCTTGTATAGGATGATGTACAGCATCATGTTATGGTGACAGTGGATATTCCAAGGATGCTCAGTCATTACCAGCCAAAACTTTGAAGGATCATGTATGAGTAAGTGACTGCAATTCTTGCTCAGCTTCAATCTAAGTGTAGACCTGTGCAACTTCCACTACAAGACAAATAGAAGAGAAGAGGCGAGCAGTGAAGTACCAGACAGCAAAGATAAAGTATGCGGTTCTGACCAGTGAGGGTGCTTGTGTGTTTATATTCGCTGTACATCGTCTTAATAGTAAAAATACATATTTATTTCTACTTAGTCTTTCTATGCATCTATGCGACTGGTCTATTTGTCGTTTATAGAGTAATTAGGGCATTTATGTGCGTTTTTTAGGTACTGTAGTAAACTGATAATTGATTTGCTCTAGGAATAAATAGTTCATCAATGTAATCAGTAGAGCGAAACAGCCTGTACAGAGAGCGTTTGAAACTTTTGACCGAGGTGGAATTTCCGACTTCTAGGGGCAGGCTGTTCCATATTTCACAGTACATGACTGTGGACAAGTTTTCGCGAAGGCTTTTATTGTCACTTTGCGAGTTTGGTTACGCAGATCGTAAGAGCCTTCTGGTGAGAGTCGTTTATCTTTATTATCTGAGAATGATATATTGTGTAGGGCCTTAAAGAAGAACACTAGGTTTATAATAAGTCGTCTTGTCCAAAGTGGGGAGAGTTTTAGGATCATGCATAGTGAGATGTAGTCTTTCCTATCATCGTAGCCAATTAGTTTGGAGGTAAAATATAGTTAATAATAATAATATATATTTCTTCCTGTTTATGCAGGAACATACCAATTGTACAGGCATGGCTAAGTTATTATATAAATTACACATAATTTGATGTATGATGAATTTACAGTTTGGTTGTTCTCTCTGATATGAGAGTCAGTCGGAACAGTCTGATATAAAGTCTGTTTGTGTAGCACATAAAGAGATATAGAAATATTGTCTTCGCATTAAAAAAAACCAGACATCAGATGAATGTAATACGGATATCTGGGAAAAAAAGCTTGAAGTCAATTCTCTTATATAACTTTGTTGTGAGCAACACCCTTGGTTTGAAGTTTATTGATGTATTATGTTGAGATCAGTGATATATTTATTCCACTTTTTCAACAGTCTTATCTTAGTTTTATAACAGGAAAGAAATTTGACCGTGGATACGAAGACTAGATAAGGTCATATTAAGTTGTTTTACTGCATCAAATGGTGTCGAGGTCGATTCCAGAATTCTCCATTTGCTCCATTTGTGTCTGCATGGCGGACTGTATTCGTAAGTTCAGAAAAATGTTGAAAACCAGTTGCTTCTTCATTTCAGATCATGAATACTCATTTACAGCATGTTCGCCAGCGTCTTCAAATGGTAGATTTGGATCGTTCATGGAATTTGAGTGGTTATGATATAGATGGTTTGGAATTAATCCTCATTTCAGTTTAGATGCAGGGTTGTTCGACCTCGACCAGAAGATGAATAAGAGCAGCAGAATACCAGAAAGAGAAAGTATGTGAACATTAAAAGTATATTAATGTATATATGTAAATGTTTATGTCAATTTTATAACATATAAGTAAAAAAATACTTTTAATTATAGTTGTCTTTTCACTTTATTTATGCGAAGTCTTAGAGTTTATTTAGTGTCATAATGTGTATTAATGAGTCTGAGCGTTTTAGTGTTCTAATGACTGATGCGTTTTAGAAGTAATTAATGGTTTCTGGTAGGGGTAGTCATTGGAATAAAACAGTTTATATAGCAAGCGTTTGAAGGTTACGGTAGAGTGACACGTCCTATATCTAAGGGTAAACTAATCCTCTTTGTTCCGTACTAAGCCTTTACGCATCCATGCTGCTGGTTTATTTATAGTTTTTAGATTGCTAAGAGTGTTGAAATGCGTCTTTTAGGTGCTGTAGTGGATTAGTAGTTGATTCGTTTTAGGAGTAAATAGTTTATTAATATAATCAGTAGAGTGAAACAGTCTGTACAGAGAGCGTTTGAAGCTTGTAACTGAAGAGCAAGTTCTGACATCTAGGGGCAGGCTATTCCATATTTTAGAATACATGACTGTGAAGAAGGTTTCACGGAGTGTTGATTTAAAAGAATGAGTTGTCACTGTGGAAGTTTGGTTACGTAGATCGTAAGAACCTTCCTGTGCGAATTGTATGTCCCTGTTCCCTGAGAATGATATTTTGTGAAGGACCTTAAAGAAGAATATTAGGTTTATAATAAGTCGCCTTGTCCAAAGTGGGTCAAGTTTTAGGATCATACACCGTGAGATGTAGTCTTTCTTACAATCACAGCCAAGTAGTTTTGAGGTAAAATATCGTTGGATACTTTCCATCCTTAGCTTGTCACATGTGCGAGTGCTGCTTATAATAAATGGACAGTATTCTAGTAGTGGTCTGACGCATGTTTTGTACAAAATTAGCTTGGCTTCATTGTCGTGAAAGTTCCTGAGTATGCATCCTAAGAGCATCCTCGATT